TAAAACCGCGTTTGGTGTAGGGATCAAGGCAACAGTTAACCACAAGGTAGTTTGAAGTGCCACAAAAAACTTAATTTGGAAACCATAAATCAACCAGCTTGGGATGGGCTCCATCCCTTGTGACCCTAATCGGGATAAACAGTTAAGAAAGCGGATGGATGCATGGATAGATGGAAAGAACTGGTGCTAGGTAACTGCACTTCTTACTTTTCTGAGTAGATCTACTCTTTTGCACTACAACAAGGTCGTACTGTTACTCTCCAATCCCATTTAATTTATAATTATGTCACAGTGTTTTTTCCACTGTTGAGGTCTCTGCTGGGAGTTCAAACCATATCGTAACAACAGGCCTGAAGGAAAGTGCTGATAACAGTGTCCCTGGCGGTCTAGTGTGCATTTAAGAGATCTGCTTGATTTTACCGGCCTGATTGTTTTGGCCTAAATGAGATTTGGGGGAAGTTCAGATGTTTCTTTTCCCCCCTATTTTTTTCCTCCCTCCCTCCCTCCTTCCACTGTCCTCCTTAATGTTACTCCAGATAGAGTTTTACAAGTAGCTGCAAAGTGGCTTCAGTCACATGAACCCATTCACACGCCCTTGTTTCTTTCACTCTCTTGCATTACGTCAAAGCCGAGGAGCCACATAGTAGGATAAACATGAAGAACTGGAATCTGAAGGGATGTGTCATGCTTAATGAATCTTCCCCAAGTTCCCAGTCTCCTCTGAAGCTTTGGCTTTTTATGAATAATCACAGCAAGTACCCAAGCTTCATATCAGAGGCATCTGACCATTTGCTGTGCAGGGCTCAGAGTGAACAGGTTTTGTCTTCCAACCAAACCCGACTGCAACTGATTTCACTCTGTTGTCTGTCCTCTTTGGTTGAAGGTCTGCCAATCAATGAGACCACCTGCTGTAGTGCTTTGATTGGAAAGAAAACCTTCATACTGTCATTCCACCGCTCATGGTTTAACCCCTCTGCCTTTGATGCAGTTAGCCAGTTGTAACCACCTGCCAACACAGCCCAGGCTCATTTGCAGTGAAAACTATTTTTTATGTCACTAAAACATTGAAGGAATTAGCCGTCACTGGGCATAAATTGTCCTGTAATATTTGTGCCCACTCCGTGAAATCACAGTTTTATCGGCGTTGGTGTTTTTATACCCGTACGGTGTATTATTCGAAGAGTTTCATATTTCATATTATTCTTGAGCTTTTACCATCTGAATATGGCAGAGTCTGTGTGGCAAATGCTGTGCTGTCTGTGGGGTTTCTAATGGTATGAGCCCCTTTTTCATACAGCTACATATCAAAGTACCAGAGTCACAGAGTCATAACGCTCACAAGACTGTCGTGTGTAGATTTAGCTTTATAGCTATGTTTTGAGTCTGTAGTTTATTGTGTTAAGAAAACAGAGCATTAAAAGTCTTTCGATTAGTGTTTGTGAGGGTCTAATTGTGACCCCTGTCGGGAGGTGAGCAGTTCATATTTTTCATTGAAAAAAAGGAGATGAGTTGACCTCTTTGCTTCTGAATGTACTGTTCATTTTCAAGCAGTCAAAGCAGGCATTTCACAGTCAATAGCGGGTGTCTGCTTGATTAAGGTCATTCACAAAGCAAAACTAGTTCCACCAGTCATTTCTTCCTCTCAATAGAATAGAGAACAAGTTAATTATCGCCATGTCCTGTCACCCTATTATACGTGATTCACTTTTAGCTGAAGACTGTGCTTGTTATTTTGTCACAATACCCATCCAGGCCCATGATGCATGTGTGCGTATGAAGTCCATTGCTCATTTCCAGCTCAATAGTAAAACTGGTTAATACGGCTAAAAGAAAACAATCTCCATATCTTGTATGTTTAATGTACTCTGTTTACATTCTGTCAGTGTTACTCACCAAAACACTTTGTGTAATCTTGAGACCTAATAACCTCATAAAACATTTGAAACCTTCATCGTTTTCTTCCTTTTTCTTGCCTTTGCACCTTGCTGTGGGTCTTGGTGTGTCACCACAACCTGTAGTCTAATCCATTCAAACACTTTTCCATATCATCAAGTTGTTGATCAGTGACTGCACTACAAAGTACAACAAGCCACCGTATGACCAACACGGAAATTATCAAATCAAATTATCAATAAGCAGAACATAGAAAACTTGGTTTATTCTCCTTCCAAAATGTACGCACATAAGAGAAAAAAACCCCTGCCATATTGATAACATCTGTGGCATACTTTAAAGTGTAGTGTATTGTATTATACCCTATATCACCCAGTGTTTGCACATATAGTGATGTAAAGCAGGAATAGCTGCATTTTTCAATCCAACAATAGTGTGTGTAGTGAAATAATTGTGGTCGGTCGTAGTCAATCCAAATAAAAGCTCTGACAGGGAGAAGTGATCGTCACAATCCTGCTAAAAAGTATAGGAGGCCAAATTTCATATCGGCCCCCAACAATAGGGGGAAACCTTTGATCTGTATTTAGACAAAATGCAAATCAGTGCAGGTGTTTAGGCTTAATAAGCAGCCACAGGAGAAATAATGGAGGGAACTGGCACACGACAAAACATAGGGGATAAAAAAGATACAGAGAAGACATGTTTTAACATTTTTACAGACTTGGCATGAAGACACAATAGGACATCCTAAATAATGTTTACGTAAGTTTATGTAAGTACAGTGAACTTGTAGGGGGGCATGGGAATCCATTATGACAACAAGGTCCCCAGTGTTTCTGTGTGTGTAGTAATAGCAAGTAAAAGGCTGTGTAAAAAAGGTACTTCTCCACAAGCTCTGCAAAGAGGGAAATGCCAGTGCTTTTCTGTTATACTCTACACATCCCTACTGAGAGCTATGTAGGTGGTAGCACAAATGCCTCAATGACTGTTTTTATTTCTTTGCCTGATTTCTTCCTTCAGAGGTAATTATGGGCATTCTTGTTGAAGTGCACACCAGGAAGAGTATTCTCTGTGCAAGAATTGTTTGTTTATATTTTCAGGTTATTTCTCAAGATTAGCGAGGCTGGGTGATGTCCTTTCTGGTTCCTCTTTGTCTAAGAAACCTTAGACCCCTCTTGAATTCATTATAATGTGCTAAGCTAGTATAATGAATAGCTGAGATATAATACATCTTTTGGTATAGAACATTAGAATGATTTTAAGTATTTTGTTGTCCTAAGGGGGAAACTTCCTGTGGTCTATCCAAGATCTGATCTTTTACATTTAACTGATCAGTTAGGCTATCATTCATGATCAGCAGTACAGGTGCTTTTTATTTTCAAATCCTTACTCGTATTGCAGGACAACAAGGACACTTGTTATTTATCTTAAGTCCTTTCAGAGACTGTCTATCATCTATGCATCTGTTATCATTATTAGGGAATGAAATTACCCAAGAAACTCTTTACTATTTACAGTAAAAAGGATGCTCTTCACAGTACATTGTGAAACACAAACCATAAGAACCACAGGTTCTGCAGACAGACAGCTTTGTTTTCTACTGTTGTTCAACTGGATTTTTACCTTGCACACAGTATGTCAATGGCCATACTCTGAAAGGAATGCTGCATGCATATTGTCTTGGAACTACCTGACGTGCACAAAGAAAACATTACAATACATTCCACTCCACATTTCAACAGACTGGTGTAAGACTTGCAACATGAAAAAGATGCATAATGTCAGGAAGGAGAAGTGTGAACAAACTTGGAAAATATCAAACCAAGGGATGCCAAATCGAGTTTTTTTTTTTTTTCCAATCTGACCAGTTGCCACTGTCATTCACTTTAAAGCACAATTGCACATCACTGTCTCTGTTTGATTCAGTGAAATTAGCAACCCCTACTTTTTGCTTGTTTATGACCGCACCAAATTGTTTTGCAGTTACACATATTGTGGAAACAAACAACACTGCATCTTTGCTGTGTTTATCAATTTGAAACAGGAAGTTGTATAATACTGCATATGCAACCTTTTGACTAAGGAATGATGCAACTGTCCCTTGTGATATTTTACGCAGGCACGATGCAAAGTGAGACTTTAACAACTGTGATGACTGGTATTTAAGGGTGAAACAAGGAGGGGGCTGCCAATTTCTTAATAACTAAAAAAATGTGAAGAAATGTTCTGAAACAATACTAAAAAGCAGAGGAGTGCTGGATAGTGACCAACAAGAAATTTTGAAATGAACTTGTTCTGCTTTATCTGCTGCTAAGCTCATCTCTGCCTTATAGCTAGATGTTTTTAGATACAGTATATATAGTCAGTGGTTTTGGAATGATGGATGGCATACTTTTTTTGACAAACTGAAAAAGCTATCCTTTAGCCTTCAGCAAATATGCAGGAACAGCACACGATAAAGGCTGTATCAGCCCGTATCAGCAACCTAAGGCCTGCATCAGCCTCTCTGTGGCTCCTTCTCTCCTTACTGTTTCCTCTCTACCATGCCTTTTACAGTTCATTTCATTTTCGCCCAGAGGCAACTTGTGTTAACTCACAATGCTTTTTCAGAAAGAGAATGGACAGAGTGATGTAAAATAAGCTTTTTCACGTGGCCATAACCAGCGTGGTGCCATCAAATTTTAAAGCTAGTTCCCCTCCTTTTGTTCATTTTCTCTGCATCCCTCCACCCGCTTAGTCTCATCTTCTGCTCCTCCCATTATCTTTCACTCATCTCCTCTGTGCATGTCTATTTCCGTTATGTTCCCTGCAGCCCTCTCTGTTTTGATATAGAGTTTTGAAGAAACACAAAGTAAATCACTACAATTTTCCTGCTGATGATTCCGAGCTTTGAGCGTGAGCTGACCTGTTGACGCATCCATGCTAATATAAGTGTTCTGCGTGTTCGTTCATCATTGGTTTGTCCTTTAGTTGTTTGAAGCTTGACATATTGTTAGATCATGATGTACAGTATGTAGGACATATACCTGTGGAGAATCGAGGCATAATAACTTTTCAGACAAACGATGTCCCTGAAGTTTTTCGATCTCCCTTCGGTCTCCCCACAGGGCAGTGATGCCTGGCATGGTGATGTTTCGGCGGCGCTGGTCAGTTGGCAGTGATGACCTGGTGCTGCCCGCCCTCTTCCTGTTTCTATTGCACTGCGTCTGGTGAGTCAGAGTTTCTATGACTATATTGATTTCTTTTTGCATATATACACTTCATTTTTAATTTGTAAGTGTATCTTCACCTTCAGGTTGGTGGTTCTCTCCGTGGTTCTGTTCGGCCTCCCATACGGCTCAGATCAGTCCTGCTCTGTTACCCTGGTAGACCATGGCAGAGGGTACCTGGGCATCCTGGTCAGCTGCCTCATCTGTGAGAGCGCCATCATGTGGTTGAGCATGAGAGGCAGCATTCTGTACACACAGCCCAGGGAAGCTGTGCAGTATGTCCTCTATATACGACTAGGTAAGAAACACAAGTCCTCTTTTAAACGGCATTACCTCTTGATGCTTGTGAGAATTGGCGGTGGTTGCGAGGATTACTTGTGGTTTCCAAGTTAAGATTTAAACACCGTTTATATTAATTGGGCAGATATTGATCATTATTCTCCTCACTCCCTCACCCTCTTTTGCCCTCTTTCTCTCTCTAGCTATTCTGCTGGTCGAGCTAGTATATGCTGTGGTAGGAATTGCCTGGCTTGTCCAGTATTACCAGCCATGCTCTGATGTCACTGCCAAAAACCTGGCTTTGGGTGAGTGAAAGAGTATATACAGGAGAATGGCAATGGACAATTTAACTTGAAAGAGGTTTGTTATGCTTGAATGTGAATAATGTTTGAATATTTTCTGCAGGAATTGTTGCATGCAACTGGCTAGTGATATTCAGCGTTTGCATTACCCTCATGTGCACCTTTGATCCTACGGGTCGGACTTTTGTCAAACTGAAAGCCACCCGTCGGCGTCAGCGCAACCTCACTACGTACACACTAAGGTATTAACAGGCTCTTAGATTCTCAAGTTTTCTCTTTTTTTTTCTCTCTATACATAAAAAACCGACCCAAACACCCACCCAAACACAGCATCCATCTTAACAATGTTCTTTACCTTACCCATTAGACACAGGCTAGAGGAAGGCCAAGCCAGCAGCTGGAGCAGGAGACTAAAATTCTTCATGTGCTGCACAAGAGCCCAGGATACACAATCAGTGAGTCACAACAGACACTTATTCGTTTCCTCTCTCTGCTGAAAGTAAAAACCGAAAGGAGTGAAACCAGAAATATGTCAGGCATAACGTCCAGTGAGCTAGTCATTAAAATAAGCCCTGACAGGATGAATCAAGACTGTGACACAAAGGAGCTCATTGCTCAGCTACTTACTGGCAACATAAAGAATGTCAAATAAAATCTGAATGTAAAAAATTATATTATTTCTGGCTAAATCAATTTACAAGCTGTCTGCAAAAAAAAGTAAAGCACAATTTCTATGACTATGTAGTCGCAGAACTTTCAGGAACTACCCTTCACTAGACTAGACTGCAGAACTGTCTACAGAAAAGTCATGAAAGTAAGATTGCAATCAGCTTTTAGCCAACAATCCAATGTATTGTGGTGTCCCAGTTTTTATTTACAGTAATAAACAAGATTTTTTTGGCAAAGAATATTGCTAGTAAATTTGAGAAAACAAAGTGGTCTCACCTTTTGGGCTGAAGCTATGCTACCTAATTTATAATCCTACAAAACTGCAGTTGGGGTTTGGAGAACAGGCAGTATAAAGGTTGATGATTATGTCTATTTTGTGGCATATAGTCCAATCCTGTTTTTGTTACTGTGCTTTACCACCATGTCCTGATGCCTGCTGCTCTCCTGTCCAGGATGCGTATTCAGAAGTGGCCAGCCTTTTTGCAGAGTTCTTCAGAGACCTGGACATTGTGCCTAGTGATATTATTGCTGGCCTGGTACTTCTCCGCCAGAGACAGAGGTCTAAGAGATCTTCTATCCTGGACCAGGTATCACTGTCTGTAAAAAAAAAAAAAAAAAATATGTTAATGTCTCTATTTTTGTGCTTTTGTAGGAATGTGCTGTAATGAAAATAACTTATTTTATTCTGTTTTTCTCTTCCTAAGGCTAACAATGACATTTTAGCCTTCTTATCTGGAATGCCTGTCACTCGTAATACTAGATACCTGGACCTTAAGAACTCGGTGAGTTTCTCTTTGTGTGATGAACTGACAAAGTCATGGTTGACTTGTGTTTATGTCACATGCTAAACCACACAAACAGTGGACTCTTGTGAAAGTTAAAATGTTTAGAAAATAAGCTAACAATCAAATACAAAAATACAACATGCATTTTAGCTCACTCTTAAAGGCTCTTGTACATTTTATTTACCCTAGAAAGAATTTTATTTGCTTAAAGTCAAATAAATGATAGCAAACAATAGACACAAATTACAATAGGGTAACAAGTAAGTTGATAGTTTAGTTTATATTTCACAAATATTAAAACAATGGTATTGAACCAGAGCCACCAGTTGATTTGATGAGAACTGATGATGTATTTATCTAAAATGACATTACATATTTAAGTATCTAAGCATTTCTGAATTCTTCAGTTGTCCTGACACATGTGTGCGTCCGTCTGTCTGCCTTTCTTTCTTCCAGACCGAGATGAACATGTACAAGGATGTGTGTTATTACATGCTCTTTGCCCTGGCTGCATATGGTTGGCCCATGTACCTAATGAGGAAGCCTGCCTGTGGGCTGTGCCGCCTTGCCAGCTCCTGCCCGTAAGCACTCAAACATACTCCCGCACAGTTTTGATCTATTTGCCTTCTGTGTCTCTTGAGCCTCTTCAGTGCAGATCAAATTTCACATGCGTCAACACTTGCCAAGTGGTAATCCACTGAGACAATACCACTCTGGTCAGACTCCCTAACACTAGAAGCATCAAATTAATCACATACTTTCATCCAGATTTCCTGCATTAGGATATTAGATTATAGCTCTGTAATCTTACCTGTTTACTATATTTCTCGTTTGACCTACATTTTTGCAAAAAAATCTGCCATTTATCTATTTTTTGGTCTCTGTGTTTTCCTGTTTTCTTTCTCTCTCGCATCCCAGCTGTACATCAGTGTCTGGCTCTCGGTTGTCTCAGTCTGTGACAGTGGAGGAGGACAATTGTTGCGGCTGTAACGTCCTGGCCATACGCAGACACTTCCTGGACAGGGACCTCAAGCAGGTTCACATTGTCTACACTTCCTGCCACGATGCTGTGAGTACTCCGACAGCCAGCTAACGAGCAGTCAGAGGTGTTTGCACTTTACTTCCTTTGTGTGGAGAAGTGCCAGGAAAATGTTTTCATTTGTCCATTCTTTTGTTTTTAACGTTAATGCTGATTACTTTTTGCAAAATACACTCAATTACATGTGAATTATGCCCTTTAAGGCAGTTCTGCCCCAGAACCCAGCGTATGATGCTATGCTTGCAAAATAGACATGCAAATCAAACATCACTTAACACAGGGCTGCGGTGCAGTGCTGCACATCCACAAACTAGAACCCAGCCTGATCATTTAGTAGCTTTATTTTGTAGTTTTGGCCATCATTTGTATCTGTTTTGATAACACTTTATTCACCAGTTTAGTTGCTGAGATATGGGGAGCCAAGTTGCCGTGTCCACATCCTCGGCAGTAAGTCAAGTGTGTTCTCAGTAGGTGTTGTACTCCGCCAAGGCTGTTTGTGATCATCATGGGTTGAATCTTAAGGTCAGCCGAAGAGGGGAGAGTGTCTGACTTTGAGGGGCCTATATATAAGTACATTTCTGGTCACAAAATATGATGCAGGCTTTCGGTACGTTGTCCACAGTCGTGACAATATTATACTGAGTAATTTACTCAGTTCTCTTGTCAAACTACATTCCAGTTGAGATGATTTGGAGGAAATCTCTCTCCTGTGGAGACGGGGGCAAACATTTTTCATACAGTTTGGTTTCACTCTCTGGTGAGTGGGTACAGTAGGTAATGTTGGAGACTTGCATGATTAGTCACTGCCTGGGCGTTCCCTTGTCCACTTTTGTTTGGTAGCTCTATGTAGTAACACTGCTGCATCCCCATGTTAAGGCAATAAGTTGGTGAGTAAAAATGGGTGATTGAACTGATTGGCATGATGGTTACAAATACAAAAAGTCCCAAGTTGTCAAACAAAGATAAAGTGTAGTGGCTGAAGTCAACAAAAAAACTTCCAGTTTAACCCACTATAAGTGTAGATTTGAAAGTCAAAATAATTTCACTCCAATCACTTTCCCATTCAAATGGGCACTTATATTCCCAATTAATCCTTTCAAATGAAACAAGCTCAGACAGTAAATTAAATAGTTGTTATAATAGTTTCCTTATGACATTGGATATTTAATTAACTATGTCTGTTTTTAGTTTTTATGTAGAATTTCCATAGCCTTCACACTAGCACTTGAGCCACACGATGTTGATGATTTCTAAAGCAGAGAACTTCTTAGTGAGGTTAACGCTGAGTTTCCATATATAAATCTCTCTCATGAAGTGACTTATATGACTGTCTACTGAGCCAAGTGGAGAAAGGTTTGATGACGAAGACTTAAGAAGTGTTCAGTTTGCTGGGATGAAAGTGGAACTATGATGCAGTAGTATTTGCCTCCTCCTCCTCCTCCTCCTCCTCTCACTATCTCACCACTGTTTACTGTCCATTCTGCATCTCCCAGGTTTATGAGACTCCATTTTTTGTGGCAGTGGATCATGCAAAAAAGAAGGTCGTCATCAGTATCAGAGGAACCCTATCACCAAAGGTGAATTTTAGCTTTCTCGTCTTGTGTTTACAGTATTTCAATCCCCATCTAAACATTAGCTGACCTTGTTTCCATCCGTACCTCACACCACCAACACCTACAGAGCAGGTGAAGTTCTCATAGTTGAATGCAGTGTTCTCAAACTCCTACACCCTTCATGCATAGAGCAGAAACGTGACTTTCCACTTTTAGAAATAAATGTACTATCCAGTTTTTAGGAATATGAGAAAAATCCTGTTATATTTTAATACCTGAACTGAATCAACAGCTAAGAATTTAATCATAGCCTTATTATAAAGGCCAAATGTCTTTTGAGAGGACAAGAACTACTCATCCCATTGATCTCTGTTGCTTTGCTCCCGACCAGTCAAAACAACCAGATTATTTATGTAGCAAATCAGAATGCAGGTACTGTACATGCATTGTGGGACATTACAGATAGCATACAAAGATTAAAGAAGCGAGTGTTTGTGAATATATAAATCTGAAAGTCTTAGGAGGTATTGTAGTATTTCACCAGTATTTGGAAAAGGTAATCATGATTTCTTAAATATAAAGTTCGACTGACATGAGCATATACCATTCTTTCATCGTCTTATAGTTCTTGGCGCAGCCCCTTAGGTAGAGTTAATGCAATAGAACAAATAGTCAAATTTGCAATGGAGATTATGAATGGTGCTTTTAATTCCTGTGCCTGATCTGTGCACTTTTATTAGTTACATCTTGATTTCACATCTAAATTTCACTCACTTGTGTTCTCTGCCTTATACTGTCTTTTGTAGAATGTTTTTAAAATTTGTCTTGTGTGTGTCAGGACGCCTTGACGGATCTAACGGGAGATTCTGAACGTTTGCCTGTAGAGGAGCAACACGGGACCTGGCTTGGCCACAAGGTCAGACATTACTGTTTTAAATCACTCACCTACATTACCCACAGTATGCTCCGCTGTACAGCCTCCTCTGAGTTTCTTTGTTCTCCATAGTGCAGTTTCAACAAGTAACATAATCCCAGACTCCAAAGGTCATTTCAGTTGTTAATAGGAGAGTAATTGCAGTGGATATTTTTAATAAGAGATTAATGGTGCAGACTTCCTGTCCATATTTCTTTCTCACTTGCCATCTTCCCCTCTACTGACTTCTCTTTCTTTCCACTCTCAGGGGATGGTTTACTCAGCAGAATACATTAAGAAGAAACTGGAGCAGGAAATGATCTTGTCACAAGCCTTTGGAAGAGATTTGGTACACGTCTCAGTATACTGTATAAAGAATGGTGCTCAATAATGACCATTTTCTGTAATTTGCACTGGGAATTTGTATTAATTCAATCTTTTTCAGTTCAATTTAATTTGTATAATAACAGAAGCTATCTCAGGATACTTTTCAAATAGAGCAGATCTAAACTTTATTCCTTTTATTAAATGAACCACACTTACCCCACTGTATACAAATAATTCTACAATTACCAGAATAAGTAATTTGCTGAAGTGATTATCTTCACTGGGGTGACACAAGTGTGCTGTTGTGAGCGTAATGACTCTGTGTCTCACAGAACAAGGGCACCATGCACTATGGGCTGGTGATAGTCGGGCACTCTCTTGGTGCAGGCACTGCTGCTATCCTCTCCTTCCTGCTGAGACCTCAGTACCCCACACTTCACTGCTACTCTTACTCTCCACCTGGTGGCCTTCTTAGGTGAGTCAATGTGTTTATAGTATCCGATATACAAAAGACTATACAAGAAAACATCAGTCATTCTGTGTACTGTGAATAAGTTATTAAACTCTCTTTGCCAGTTCCACACATAAATCCTATGTTTATGTTTATAAATCACACGTAAGTTTAACTGTTTCATACCAGACTGCTGTCATAGGTTAAACCCTGGCCACCACTGTTTACTTAAGACCTGAATTTGCAGCTGTTGTTCAATACCAGCACTGCTAAACCTAAGAATTATACCAGACCTATATAAATATTGCTCCATACAGATGAGAATTTTCAGTTCCTAAGAAGGTCCCTGCAGTGTTTATGCTGGAAATTAAACACGACAATGTGATTAGTGTGGCGTACGTTTTAATTTTAAATGTTTTACTTAATTTGACAGTAGAGGCAGAATGGAAATGAGGAAGGGGGGGGGGGGGGGGTGCGGGGGTATGAACAACAAAGGTAGCTAGAAGTCACCACACAATGATCGTAATAATTTTAGAATAAGTGAATTGTAATACTAAAATTATTATAGAAATGTATGTTTCATGACATAGCCAAGCAGTGACAGACCAGTCATACAGCCAGGTTGGAAGCAGGGCCGTAGAGCCAAAACATATGGATTTATTTAAAACAATCCCAAAAACAATTTTTTTTTAACTATTAGATCAGTCAGAAAGGAGACTATCCGAAGTGTCACACAGAATTGGTTTGCAAAATGAATTGTACATTTAAAAAAAAACCCAGGTGTTGTAATGTACAAGATACTGGAAAAGTGTTTGAAACGTGTACCCACAAGCTGTGGTTTTCACTTTCATTTGCCTTTTTTTTCCCCTTTCTTTCTCTTTTATGGTTTTTTATTTTTCGGAGTTCATTAGCATTTTGTCTGTCTACACTTGAACACTATCCAACACCCTGCCATACAGCTGGCTGCAGTAGTTAACTGTGTTTGCTATGCAAATCATGCTTGAAGAGAGTCTGTACCAAGAGATTACTAAATGCTGCAGTGCACCTTTTGGTGTTTCATCGAAGTCAAGACAAAGTAATTTATCATACTTTGTTCAGACGATACAAGATGGGTCAAAAAATAAGCAATACATAATAAATTCAGATGCTTCCATACAGGACACAAGGGGTCACTGAAGGGTTTACGTATGCAAATTATGTTGTATGTTATTGTTTTCACAGTCACCAGATTTTAACCTATTGAACACCTTAACAACCCTCTCCACCACTATGATCAAAAGATGAAAAAAGAAAGGAATATATTTTAAAACAATGGTGTTTCACTGCTCCAATAGAGTTTCAGAGATTGTAGAATATATGCCAAAGAGTACTGAACCTCTCATAGTAACCACTTAATGTAGGTTTTTCCTTTTAATTTGTCACCCATCTTTATATGTATAGAATATGCTGAAGGTTATCCTTTCTGCAAATACTACAGTCTGGTTTATCTCAAAAGTCTGATTGTTATCAGAGGATTGTGGCTGACTAGGAACAGCCTTCCACCTGAATGGTCCTACAATTCTACAAGACAGGAAGTACTATTCTACTGAAAATACCCTTCTTCATATGGGTGCACACTAGCTACAAACGATGAACATCGTATGCTATGATGTTAAGGTATACTCTGACATAAAAAATTTAAATCTATAGTTATTAATGCCGGCCCTGAATGCAATATGAATGCCCCGAATTAGCCATTACATTCCGCCACCTGACTGTAATGTAGTGGTACAGTTGCAACCTCGATTCATCAGACCAGGCAACCTTTTTCCTTTCATTGACAGTCGCTGTTATTGTATAATTGCACTGTGCTGCTTACCCTCTCACATATACATCAATCAAGAGCCATTACCCACAGCAAAAGCTTTGATAAGGTTTTTTTTGTGTTCAAGTACGTTCCTTAATTCCTTCCTTGATTGCCCCATTCAGAAAACATCAACGCCTAAACCTTTTTTCCAGGCACCCTTGATCATGCCCCCTTTTTTTGGAAATAAGTTCACATACAGGTCAAATGTGGAAATGAGTTTGCTGTTGGTTGCGCCTGTTTATGTTGTGACACAGGCAAATGAGAAGATGTTCCACTTCTTCTTTTAATTTTCTCTTTTTCTCATCATTTCCAGTATTGTATCATTCCCTGTGGATATGGTCAGATAAATGTATTCCCTATATGTTTGTAGAAGAGTGTACAGTCTATTACATACCATTATTTGCTTTGGTTGTTTTGAATAACTTTGGATTAAAACAAATGTTTGTATGAAATGTGTGCAGCGAACTCTCAGGTCACACCCTTAAACCTCACCACACACAATTAACTTTTTTCTTTTATTTACCCAGTGGGGATGCCATGGAGTACTCCAAAGAGTTTGTCACATCTGTGGTATTAGGAAAAGACCTGGTACCAAGGTATTTCTTTCTACTGTATCCAGTCTACTGTGGTTAACTTCACTTTGCTGCAGTATTACTACGATAGACATATCTGCATCTGGTCTCTCCTAGACTTGGCCTGTCACAACTGGAGGGTTTTCGACGCCACCTTCTGGAAGTCTTACAGAAAAGTAACAAGCCAAAGGTGACTTAATCTCTTGACACTGTAGAAGATGACAGTCAAATCAGAAAACATAAAAATGAAAGATATAAGAAACTTCCACAATATGCTATCTGCTGGTCTTGCAAAGAACCTACTGTCTGGTGTTGCAGTAATTTGCGGGAATGCTTTGTAATGGACAAAAAACATAAATGGTTGTCAGATTCACAACATATTTGCATTATCAAAATCCAGTAGCAGCACACTCTTTTTGCAGTGCTTGATTAGAATAAACTACAGGCTTTCAAACAGCTTCTCACAACACTGCAGTTACAGTATCACTGCTGTAATTAAAGCATCATTTAGTATTTAGTTAATTAGTGTTAGAAAAAAAAACATACATATATATGGAAGATACATTTTGATTCAGATGTTCCATAACTAAAATGCATGTTTCCTTTGCAACAGTGGAGGATCATTGCGGGAGGCACCAAATGCATCCCGAAATCAGAGCTTCCACTAGAGGACGATGATCCTCAGTCTCAGCCAGCAGCGCCCCCCAGCAGTCGCCTGTGGCTCCACCCCAGTGACCTCAGCATTGCCCTTTCAGCCTCCACCCCCCTCTACCCTCCTGGCAAGATCATCCATGTGGTGCACAACCATCCTCCAGAGACATTGTGAGAAAATTGATTTAAAAGCTGTTGTTCTTCACCGTTTCTCTTTTACTGTCCATTTGCTGAAGAAGTGAGATCAATTGTGTTGTTGAAAGCAAATATTTATATTTGTTTCACACCTGTGACATAAAAGAACTGGCAGCTCACTGGGAAAAGGTATACGCTGCATACTTTGGACAGTGTGGGTTTACTGTATCACGAGGCACTCTCCTGTTCTTCTATCTGCACTCTGCAATCTAATATCACATTTTATTTTATAATCTTCCTGCCTCTTCTACCTGTTTCCTCCACACCAGTTTAATGTGGTACATTGTGAGATTATTTGGAAAGGGAAAATACAAATCAGTAGCATTACTGTTTAGAGATAATAACATTTTGATCCAAATTCTGTTAGACACTGCTATCAAACACACATCAGATGGACTGTAATGCATTTCAGTGATCTTATAACAGGTGGCTGTCATTCTATATGTCTCTGATATAAGATAGCAATAGCAGTTGTTAAACATCTGGAAGAAAGGATATTTTGTTATCTTTATTCACCTGTCAAGTTAGATAACCCTGTTGTAACTGATGGTTGTATTGCAGACCACCACTGGAAGCCAATTAACTCAAAGGAAGTCTATTGAAGGTGCAACAATCTGATCTCTGGCCTGTAGTAGTTCACTGCTGCTGTGTGTGTCCAGCCATTACACAGAAGCAGGCAGCTTTGCAATCTTTAACCACCTTCTGCAAGCTGGTGCAAAGCAAAACCACAAGACAGCAATGGTTTGGCCATGTTATCCAAACACTCACAAGAAGATAACCCCATCTGTTTGCTATGTCTGATAATGGAATAAAAAACAGACTTTAGTTATTTCTTCTTCCTCATTTTGTCATTCTATAGTAGCGTTTTGCTCCATCTTATGTGTCTGCCCTGTTTTCTACAATGAGCTCATTTGTAAAGTCTGTCACAAACTATTCCTCTAAATGGTGTGATAGCCTAGATTGTGCTTCTCCCACATGTACTGTATTGTAAGTGAAGGATACAGAGGCAGGCTGCTACTAAATCAACATGTGTGTTCACTTTGTCTTTCACCATGATTGACAGGCTCTCTCTTCTCCCTCTTTGTAGCTGTGGCCAGGAGGAGCCCACCTACTCAGCTCTGTGGGGGGACAACAAGGCCTTTGATGAGGTCATCATATCGCCCGCCATGCTTAATGAGCACATGCCCCACATGGTGATGGAGGGCCTAAACAAGGTCGGTTTTATCTGTGCGCATGCAGATGAATTTGAAATGGTGGTGAAATGGTTTTTAATTCTTGTTCCTCATTTCCAACACTGGGTAATTTAATTGATTGATGATGAATATGTGAAAAAATACAGAGGCATTCACAAATATTTTTAACAATTGTTCATACAGGGGGATACCACTTTTTTAAAATAACATCTTATACGGTGTGACATACAAACTAATTTAGAAATGTTTAACTAAAGCTAGAGATCACTGATTTCCGTTGTAATAAAATCTTTCTGGAGATAGTGCCCATCTTTGTTAAATCCCTTCTTCTTTTACAAGATTACAGATTTTACAACATAATTGCTGATGTTTCACTCTCTGTCGTGCTGTGATAAATAACTGTGCCTACGGTAAATGACTGTAGTCAGCTCCACGGTGGACTAGAGAAGTGTGAAAAAACCAACATTTCAAGTCCTAGATGGACTCCACATGTAATACTAATCCATTTATATGTTGTAAAAACTTCCAGTAGTTATCTATCCACATATAAATGTGTTTTTCTAGAACAACGGGAGAGCTGCAATAGAAGGAAAGGTCTTCTGTCATTTATGCCTGGCAAAGAACATTTATAAAGAAAATTAATTTGAAGATGAGTGATGCATTTATCATCTCTTTGGCCTTTAAATCTACCCATCTCAGGATTACACATTGCAGCAATCATAAAGTCATTCATCAAATACATTGCAGTGATTTATTTTGTTCTGCTGTTAAAAGCACACTACAAAGTCTTTGGGTTTTCAGTGGTATGCCCCTTAAGTGTTCAGTTAAAATTATTTTTGAGAGATTTTGAGGGTTGAATCTGAGTATTGTATATAAGGTCAATGTATGCATGTGATCCATTAACCTACAACTTACCACTCCTTTTTTTTTCTCTTCACATTGCTCCAGTTTCAAAGCATGCAAAATGTTCACTCCTGGATGGTTTTATGGTGTCCTCTGGTCTTAGTGAGTTTATGAATCACGAGCGTTGAACATCTCTTTAGATAACCCGGTATTACTGTGTATGTTTGCATGTGACGGATCCACTTTGGGGTATTGCACTTGTCTTGTGGCTGAAGAGTTAAAGTTGTAAGTTTGTCCCTCTCTACATATGATGTGTTGGGACTTGGTTTTAGTCTGTAGTATGATACCTCTGGTGTTTCTGCAGGTACTGGAACCAGAGGAAGTGGAAGTCAATCAACCTACCAACAGTACCGCTGTGTTCATAACCCCACAAACAGAATTAAACTCTAGCCCTATTCCCTCTGATGCCTCCCCTCCCACACACAAAGACCTGTCTTGCACTGCCTCCCTCACAGAGACGGAGGCTGTCCCTGTCCCCTTGACTGTCGTTGCTTCTCTCTCTCTTTCAGATGCCGAGTCTGTTCTTCCTCCTCCTCCTCTGTCAGACTGTACTTCCGCCTCACAGCTGTGTTTGGTGTCTGTCCCCCCACTGTCTATCAGGCCTTCTGACCCTCAGCTTTCAGTTGAAGATGATGCATGCATTCCACCGCAAACACAATCAGATCCACCCAACTCTCACCCTTGTGTAGATGCTCCTCTTTCTGAAACCCCATCTGAGGAGTCAAACTGCACTCCAATAGAAAATCCTCCTGCCAAGATAGTAACAACACATAGTTCTTCGCAAAAAGTGCCAAACAGTTCTTCTGATTCTGTTGTATAGACTTTATGACACTCAGTATTATCCTTCATTAACCTCTTTGCACAAATATATATAACACAAATATCAATCTAAATAGTTGTCATAAGCTTGTCATTGTTACTATTAATAGTGTGATTAAATGGTCAAGCTAAGATGCTGTGACATCATGACAGTGAAGTTTTTAATTAAAACAAATTTTTTGTCTGACGTAAAACTCACGTATAAAAAGTCAGCAGAGACGAATGCAAAAGCAGCTCAACTGGTATATCAGTTGAGGAAAACTGGAAAAACGTTCTCTCTTGGCATTAAGGCCTCCTACTAGCTTTCTTTCCACTCGCACATAAAACTGGAGGTTGGATTCAAGTCCAGACGAGTTCACTGGATGCCGCCAAAAGGCGTTCTAGGAAACGGGAAATGGAAAAGAATGCGATGAACAGACAAAACAAGTTCAGGCAACAGATGTGTTTACACAACAACAAGATGATGTGGTCAGTTTTTTTGTTTTGTTTTTTCATCACAGGTCAATAGTATATATAACAGTACAAGTACACGCAATCCCTTTAAACCTTAGAGTAGAGTAACCCTGCACGGTGAGTCCAAACCCACCTGCACCCTCTCTCTTGTTAATGAGATTCATCCAGCTCTCCTCATATCAAACCTTCATTCTTTTCCATTCCTCTCACAGCTACGTTACATTTGGTCAAGTGTTGTGGCATGAACTTGCTAACCCTGTTCCTTGAGCTAACAAGTTTTTTTTGTATTCACAAAGTTTCCATGGTAACCTAATTTCTTCCACATTAACTGCTCTTTCTTCTCTCTTGGCTGTCTTTTTTTCCCCTTTTTTTTCAGTAGCTGCAGCTCTTCTCTCTGGATATCTTCTCCCTTTTTTTGCCTTGTTTGAAAGAGCATATTTAGCTTTTCCTCAATCATAATCCCTTCAAGGAATTGTCAATTACTCATCGGCAGCAGATGGAGTAGCAAGGGGGGAAAAAATGTGTAAATATGGAGTACTATGCTCAGCTCCACTGCTCTGCTGTAATATTGATGCTCACTGAGTCTAACAAATTTCTAATTTCTTATTATTACTGAGTTGCTACAATGGAGGCCTATCATTAAGAAGACTCTGAGAACTGGAATTGTATTTCTATGTCCTCCATCGTGCATTTCAAACTGTGCTTTCGTAAATTATATATTTTATATGAATCTATGGCTGTAGGGATTGCAGTGCATTATTGCATAATGCATAATATATATGCTGTCCAAGTATAAATTTATCTCTCTGGGCGCGGAGTCTGCAGGGTCATGCTCTGTTTTTTTTTGTTTTTAGTTTTTGTGGTTGTGCCTACAACTGCAGGTGATATGTTTGATATTGCTGGTGCCAAATGTTTGCTGTAGTTTATCACCTGCAGCAACCTTCTCCTCGTGTATCACTGGTCACACTCACCCATGTAACATTGTCAAGTTTTCATTTGTGATCCATAACCATCTGCATAACCCAAACATAATAAACATGTTTGTTTAATGCCATTTTTAACATACCTGAACCTGTGTCTCTAAGATCTTTGTTTACATTCATTTTCATTTAGTTTTAACATTTTATGTTCCATTGTCATATGAATTGTATGTTTTTATATGTGTTTTTTTCATGTCCTCTGTTTCCACCAAGTGTTTTACTCATTAAAGTTAACCAAATATATGTAATTGTGTGTTGATGTGATTTGCCGTTAGTGTTTGTTCTCCTTGCATCATTAACCATTAACCACCATTTGTGGGACAGGGTTTTCTTGAATGTTTTTGAAGTTGCACACACAGTTAGCTTATGGTTTACTGTTGCTTATTGTACTGTAGGTCTTGCATAGTTCTTGCTGAAGCATTATGACTCCATTGTGGGCGTTTAATGTCAGTTGGAGTAGGTGTAAACTCACCTTTAGATTGCACTTACATTTATCTGAACTACAGTGTGCTCTAATAGTGTAATAGATGTAATCATATCTGCAGCTGAATATAGATGTAGTGGGTTCTTGGATAATGTCATTGAAAACCATTAGAATCTTCTCAGGGATGAATCAAATGCGTAACTAAACATATTTGATCTTGTAATTATTCTTCACGTACCTGATAAATGACATTTGTCTATAGATGAAAACTGACTGTATGTTGATGATACATTCCCAAACTACTGATGGCCAGTAGATTATCAATCCATTCAGATATCTAAACTGTTGACATAGAAGTGGAATTGGCATATATTTAAAGGCAAACTGTAAATGCATCACATCCAGGATTTTTGAGAATGGAGTAGAAAACATATTGAAACTAAGTCAGTAGAGTTTGTATATTTGTTTGGTCTGCAGAAATAAGCAAGTGAAGTCTATTGGTTTATTACAGCAGCTAAATTTAGGACATTTTTTCCAGTTGTTATTTTGTTCATCTTCCCAGCACTCTTGCTCTCATCGTACATTTTATCTGTCAAGTCATGTGTCTGTGTCTACCTCTGTGCTTGTGACAGGTGCTGGAGAACTACAACAAAGGGAAAACTGCTTTGCTGTCAGCAGCCAAGATCATGGTGAGCCCCACAGAAGTGGACTTGAACCCAGAGTCCATATTTATGGATGCATCAACAACTTCTCAGCAGCCGACGCCTACAACCCACCACCGCAGGAACAGTAGTGTTCGGTTAGTACACCAGGCACCACTGTGGGTGTGTTGGAGCCTAAAAGAATATACAAAACATTTTGTTTGATCCTCTGTACATTCAGTTCCCCCTCTTACATGATACATAATGGAGCAAACTTCTTCCTAAACTGTAGGGATAATCATGGGGACATGTCTATTTTTTATCAAACTATCTAGCCAGTACTTAACAATACTACTGCTACTAATTGCTACTTTATTGTTTTCTCAAAATCATCATTTCTGTCTGTTCCGTTTGTTTAAAAACAAGACAAAAAACATTGTTACGGTAAGCAAAGCATGCCAATACTAATTTTGCATAATGTGCTCCCTTCTCTCATGCACGCATGCACGCTGTCTGACCACAGAGCAGGGGCAACGTATGGTAGTATTCAGTTCCCACCTCGCCCTCTCTGGTTTAGCCCCTGTCCAAAGTCAGTGTGAACTCCTGGTAGTGATGGTTGAAAATGATATTACCTCTCCTGTGTTGGATGATAATACAAGACCATATATGCCACTAGGATTCACTCCTGGCCTTCCAGTCTCTCCTTTTCTCTGTTCTTTCTTCCGTCTATGTTATGTTTTGCTGGTGTTCACGTAGTCTGTAGATTCTAGAAATACTAAACTTAAATACTAACACGTTCCCATTTTTCCCTTCTTTAACCCTCGGTAAGTTATTTTGACCCGTTTTTCACGTCTGTCTTGTGTTTTGGATCCCCTCCCCCCTCATTTCCCTGTCACTACTCTCCAACCCCTTCTTCTCCTTTCCTCTAGTTCATGTGCCCAGTCTGAAATATCTCTGGATGGTTTCTCTGAGTGCCCTCCTCCCCCAGTGCCTGTAGTGCTGCGTGGCGCACGGGAGCGCCTGGCAGTGGAGCTGAGGGACCGCAAAGCACCTCTGGCCGTCATGGAGAGTCTCTCAGACGCCGAATCCCTCTATAGTCTGGATTCCCGGCGCTCCTCGGCTGCGCTAAGGGGTTCACCAATGCTGAGTAGCCTCCCATTCCCTTTGGATGCCCCGATCCCAGAGGAGAACCCGTCTCTCAGCTCTCGCACTGAACTGCTGGCTGCCGACTGCCTCTGCCAGGCAACGCCAGAGCACCTGGGTGAGGTTGGGCCCTTCTTTACCCCACTGGAATCCAGATCCACCCCGGATTACCCCATGCGGCTGTCTCCCGCCACACCTCGTTACAGTGGACACCATTCCCCAGCTCTGCTAAATCAGAGCGTCTTGGCTCAGCCTTTCAAACCAGAGCTTAACGCCGACCCAAAAATGCTTCCTGATGGGGAACACCAAGAGATGCCTGGTGTCTACAGCCCAGGGAGCACTCCCAATGCTCCCCTCAGCCCACAAATTGGTTCTAGACCAATGGATAGAGAAAAGGAAGATTGGGAGCTGGACACAGCAGAGAACCAGTTAAGCAAAGAGACCAGACCGGCAGCTTCTACTCCTCCACCCCAACTATCCAATGGGAATCCCAGCCAGGCAGTGCTGGAGTTTGCCCAGTACTTAGACTCTCTATTCAGATTGGACGGCAGCAGCTCACCGCCTCTGGAGCTTTCTGACGGGGAGTCAGAGTCAGGCCGGGGCTCTTTTGGGCAGGGGGAATGTCTTGGAGATGGACAGCAGTTGGATGACAAACAACTTCTGGCCAGAGCAACACTGGAGCCTAACCTAGTCCCAAAGCCCCCACGCACATTTGCTGGATCTGCTGACCCCTCTTCCGGCATCTCTTTGTCACCCTCCTTCCCTCTCTCGTCGTCTGAGGAGCTCAATGACCTTTCCCCCGGTGAGGGTACCCTGCCAGCCATACACTCCCTACGAACATCTCCCCCATGCCACTGTCCTGAAGAGAACACACTATCGTCTATGGTGTAGTGTGTTGCCAAGACTCCAATGGTCCTTTGCTCTAAATTGAGAGGTGCAGTCATCAAAATTTTAAAACATATCACAGTACATGCATGCAATGGAATGCAGTCACTCATCAGAGATCCAATGACAGAACTTGATGGACCAACTCGCAAACTATTTCCATTCTTCAGGTGTCTCCCTTGAACGCTGTTTATAGCATTTTCACACTATTGCAATGACTAAGAAAAAAAAAGATACCTCTCTCTGCATGCCAGGGGGCTGTACTGCTTTTGGGTGAATATAAATAAACTGTAGCTTCACAATGCCATTCCAAAACAATGTCGTCTCACCCACGTAGGGACGCGTCAGCATTACACCAATTCCTTGACTTAACAAAATCAAAGGGAGAACAGTTAACTGAGCAGGGATTCAAAAACACTGTAGAAGAGGTTAGCATAGGCACATCATCTGGGTTGATGTACTGTACAACTTCCTGCACCCTCAGCAGCTCCAGCTTTTACTTTATTTTTATTTTTAAAAATCAGGAATGTGAAGATGGACATATTCGTCAATCAATAGAGGTGAGAAGACATTACCAAATGTTCCTCAGGTCTATAAAGAATTGACTTTCAGAAAGAGAGTAAGTGTGTTACATTGGTGAGAATTCATGTGTCTTAAAAATGTAGTGATTGTGACAAAGTTATTACTGACGCCTATGGATGTTTTTGAGTCTTTTGGTTACTCTTTATAGTGCATGAAGAAGTTTTTTTTTCTTTATTTTTAAAGAGAAATTGTCAATAAGCCACTTAGATTGACATTTGGATACTCTTGCACACATCACATATTGCTCAATTTACCCCCCCCCCTTGCCAAAAAATTTAATAAATTGTATTGCCAAATGTATTTATGAGATGTAATTTTGTATATGTATATGGATATTGCTTTATTTAAACACAAGCTAAGTTCATTATCTCCTTCCCTAGCCATTCTGTTGGTTCCCATATCGACTGTTACACAGCAACACCACAGAAAAGATGTCATCCTGACCTTAAAACACTGCCATGGCTTTCATCTCAACCTCTGTACCTTGGGTTTGAACCAATAATGAACTTGCTAATAGTTGTCCTAGTCTCATAACTACTGTACCTTTCCTCTTTGGAGAGCTCTTAGCAATGTGCCCAGGTCAGGGTCTGCATGCTTAATGCATTTCAGAGTAGCATGGCTGGTATAGAACAAGTCTTGTCATTAAGTCACAGTAAATAAGCTCTAAACATGTCCAGAAATGATAGCATATGTAAACTCAATCCTTTTTAGAGGCTTTTTTTAAAGGCCCAGGTCATCAGACAGGACCAAACTGTGTATCCTAAAAGTGTCCCAAGATATAATTTCTCTTGTTCTCAAGGTGCTCTCAGTCATCTTGGACGTCAAGGTGTTTGCTTCCCTTTAATGTGGTTAATCTGAAACATCCTTGAGGTTGGACTGAATGAATAAATGGGCTGGAACATTACGTATGCCGATTCTAAATACTGTATGGGGCGTACGATCTTCCATATCACTCTGGGTGTTAACAGGTGGCTCACAATTTGCATTATTTATTACCGTTAATGTTGTTATCACTTTTATTGCTATATTTGATGGTATTATTATCCTTATTGCTCTTGCAACAGATTGGTTTGATGTCAGTGGTTTTTATCTCAGTTTTTGGGACAGTGTGGAGAACTTTTTAGACCTTCCCAAATGTAAGGAGTTATATATTTCAGCTTTTTTTCTGTCCGAGTGGAAAAGTATTTGACATTCTGCCATGGCATGGTGACAATATGCTCTTTTTACAAACGTTTCATAGTGGTGAGACATGCTGCAGAGTGACAGCCTGCTCACAATGACCTTTGGTGCAGCGCCACCATCAAGCCCGGAGTCACCATAGTGATCTGCACACTCTCTCTATTTGGAATAAGATTTGCTGTGGTTACTCACAGCAGATTGTTCCAGCCAGTTTACAGTCTGACACTACTCAAATCTTGCTGCCAGTCCTAGTAGTCTCTCACAAAATACACCAAGGTTGGGCCAGCAATTTCCTACGTTCAGTAGCTTTGCTTGCAGCCGGTCATACACTAAACACTGCTGAAAGTAAGCACTATAATACTTTCCACCATGATGTGTACAGCACCATCTTCTATGTGTAACTATTTATGCAGATGTCTAAAAAAAATGATTCTGATAGAGTCATGTAGAAACTATATAACAATAAGGAGATAATGACTATATTAAAAGATATCAGTATTGACATATAGAGTAAAAAAGATATATTTCATCTGAAAGTTATTTATTCAAACTATTGGCAGATTTACAAATTGGTCTATATCGAAAGAGGAATAATTCAACTATGTCTTGTCCATGTTTACCTGGTTTGCTTCCCTTCCTCTCCTGTCCCACGATGAGAATGTATTTAATCCCTCCCCCTCACTGCCCTGCCTGTAATGGAATAAACTGCAAACTATGAAAATAACTGAGTTTCTGTTATATTTCTTTCAGCGTGTATCACTGCTTTACCGTTCAGTGTTTTGATTACTTTTATTTAAATGAGCCACAAATTGTAGTTCATGTCCAAGTTTTCAGCTCGTTTTCCTCACTGCTGCAACATTTTATGGAACAGTTTAGCTTCAGTATATTATGAAGAGCATAATTGGAGTATAAACGTGAGCAATCAAGGCTCTGTTGACTTTCTCCTTAAAGATAATGTATGTTGTAGGGACATTTAGGCAAATAATTACTCAGATTAACAGACTTGGCTGTTTGTGAAACCTAATACTTTTAAGCAAATTACTTTTGATGCCAAATTCCCTGAATACATGCCAGATGAACCCATCCTGAAAAAGTTAGGGCTTTAAATTTGATGTAAAGCATGTGTCATCAGTTTTGGAACTGCTGGGTGCAGATGGATTTTGAGTGAATATGGCATGAGTTGTTTGGAGCTATATTTAAGCCTAAGTGTAGGTGCAGTGTATGATGAGTGTACGGTAGGTTGGATGGAGATCAGAATCTACTGTTGAGCCTTATGGAGGTGTCATGAGTTAAATGACATTGTGTGGACAGGAGGTGTCTGATAACACCGGTGACGCACCTTGGATCTGTCTCACAAAGTCAAACTACTGAGTTAGCCAGTAAAGTACACTGAGCTCTAAAATGTATAATTTAAGCAAATATACACTAAAAACTCATTATAGTATCAATATAGATAATTGTTGCGTTTAACTACTTTGAGACCAACTGTAGGCTATTTGTGAAATCTGTGATCACTCCCCAACCTAAGACAGTGCTGTTAAATAATACCTACTTAAACTATAATGATGTTATATGATTTATACTGTGGTACCAAGTTTTACTGCAGCTAATGTGTACTATATTTGGAGTTATTTATACGTAATAACCTCCATATATACTGACAATATATATCCACTGGCTGACTTCCAATAAAATATCACAGGAAAGGTTTTTATGAATTTTATGAGTTATCCTTAAAGTTTATAATAAATTAATCTTGGCGGTACAACTGATCATTCCTATTCTAAAAACCATCAGTGGGTAGTTTGACAATTTGGAAAGCTCAGAGAAAGTAGTAGATTAGTAGATTAAGATTTATTTAAAAAATGTTTTTTATTTTGTCAAAGAATTTCCAGAATTTTCCATCTCCAAATGAATTTGTAGGCATTGAAACCAGAAGTTGTGTATTGGTAAAACGTGCAAGTGTATCTCCACCCACCACCAGAGGGAAGCAAAGTATCTACCTCCTGACAAAGACACAAAGAAGAAGGACTTCCGGGAAAGCGTTAGCTCGGTGCTAGGTTAGCATTAACACTGTATTTAGAAGTGTAACCTGTTTTCTAACCTTTACCATGAATTAAGACCGAGCTGTCGAACCCCGCTCCGTTAAACGTCTCGGTGGGTAAAACATACACACTGTAACGTTTGAACATGTGTTTAATTGTTTTTATAACGTTTAACAATGCTAGCTAACATAGCATCAGTGTTTACACAGCTGGTGTGGCTACGTTAGCTGCGGTTAGCTAAGCTAGCTTTCCAATTCATTTTGAGATGAAATCGCCTCTCTTCTGGCTGCTCTGGCTGTACATGTTGAAACTTTATTAGCTCAATAATTTGTAATATTCCTCCCTCGCTTTATGGTCTTTTTGTTAGTTTTTCAGGCGGTTGACATTGGCTCGTTAAGTTAACAGTCGTTGGCATTGAAATCATTCACGTTATCATATTATCTGTATCATAAGTGTTTATAAGGGTCTAACCTATTCACTGCACTCTTTACAGTTAACATACTGAAATGTGGGGGACCTGTGTGTTGTCCTCTGCTGTAAGGTTTTTATTTTTTTTATTCTACAGGGTAGACTGTACTTCAGTGTGTATAAACAGTACCCAGAGCTGTCATTGATCAGAAATCTGTCTTTACAGTGGCTGGTTGCAGAGAGAGAGAGAGAGAGAGAGGTGTCAGGCATGTATGCCTCTGGGAAATACAGCTCGCGGGGCCCAGCTCTTATCCCGCGGATGAAAACCAAGCACCGTATATACTACATCACCCTCTTCTCTGTGGTTTTGCTTGGACTAATTGCCACCGGGATGTTTCAGTTCTGGCCCCACTCCATTGAGTCCGCAGCTGACTGGACCCTTGATAAACGCAGTGTCCACGATGCACCTGTGGTCCGCCTGCCTGTCTCCAGCCCAATTCCTGAGAGGGGTGACCTCAGCTGTCGCATGCACACCTGTTTTGATGTGTACAGATGTGGCTACAATCCTAAAAATAGAATCAAGGTAACTGCCTCTCGTAGCGACCCTCACATCGCTGAGAAAATCTCTCTCAGTATTTTTTCAGTGTTCCTTGTTGAAATTATGACCCCTTGTTGGACTGGTTGCTTTTCTAGGTTTACATCTACCCTCTGCAGAAGTTTGTGGATGAATTGGGTGTTCCTATCAGCAGCACTGGGCTGTCTCGAGAATACAATGATCTGCTCAGTGCCATCTCTGACAGTGACTTTTACACTGATGACGTCACCAGAGCGTGTCTTTTTATCCCGTCTGTTGACGTGCTGAATCAGAACTCCCTTCGTATTAGAGAGACTGCCCAGGCTCTGGCAATGCTACCCAGGTAAACCTTTACACAAAATTCATTGTCTTAATCAGTTTTAAGTATGTAGTAGAGTTTGCTTTGTCACTCTGCTGTTTTTTTTCTCTCACATTGCTGTCATACAGTATCTGATATTGATGTTAAAGCACAAATGTGGTCACTTAACCTTTTATGTTGTCTTGGATGGAAACTAACAATTAATGTTTAAATACCAAATAATATATTGATGAATCATTTCTGTCCTAAAACGGAAGAAATAACATCCAGTAGCCACCATAGATAGACATTTCACAAGAGCCTGTGTGGCTAACATAAAACGTTTAGTGGTATGGCATTGAGATTATTGGATTTTCTGTTGTTCAGTCACTAATCTTATGTATGTTTTGTTAGATGGGACAAAGGGATGAATCACCTACTTTTCAACATGTTACCTGGAGGCCCTCCAGACTACAATACTGCCTTGGACGTGCCCAGAGACAGGTAGCTACATCTTACAAGCCATTTTAATGTTTAAGAATGAGTTAATGGTAATTTGAAACATTGTGAAACCTAAATTTACCAATAATGTTTAAATGACACAGTTGATTTAAGTACATGGCTGGTTCTTTGTAGTTATCAGGCTGGAAATGTAGATAAAAGGTAAAAGTCACCCACCATAGGCTTGGTGCATGAATTTCATTAACCAAAGAGCGTCATTAACTGACATACTACTACAGTCAAGTTAGACATCTACTGCCTAGAAATCTAAAATTGCTTCATTTAAAACCAGACAGGAGGGAAGCATGTTATCAAGATTCATCTCAGCAACCTTCCACTAGTAGGCACAAATCAAAAGTATACATAATTTCTTGTTTATGTATATTCTGTTTCTGGAACAGAGGAAAATCACGTTCATGCTACAATGAGTGATGCAACCTTGAGTAGCATTTACCATAAGTGCAGTCACTCACAAAGTGTTAAGATGGATCATTTGATGAGGATGAAAGATATATTTACAAGCAAATCAAGAGATATTTTCAAGAGGCCTTGAGGAGACGATTCAAATCTGGTTGTATTTATCAGCAAAGAGTCTGTGTGTCTCAAGTTGTCTTGTAGACTAGAGTGATGGTTGAGGATGGAAGAGGTAGGGTTTATGAACATGCAGCCTTGAGACAATGAACGCTATCTTTAGCTGCAAGGAATTTCCTGGGCTCATCCAGCTGGAGTGCATTTGGCATGGCGCCTCATCAGAACCAGGTGTGTGTGTGACTGACGGTGTGTTTCCACTTTATATTCACCTTGCCTGAGAATATAAGAGAATCTGAAATACATTTTATCACTTTTTGAACTATATGGGATCTATTAAGCAGTGCACTAAGCCTTGTTTGATGTCACTTCATGCCGCAAAAGTGCTCATAGGAAGCAAAAGAACAAATGAATTACATTTTGTTTTTTAAAGTATGTCTCTGTAGCTCATGTCTGTTGAAATCCCCGGTGTGTTGAAGCATTGTTACAATCCAGGACCATTTGTTTCAGAGCGCTGCTGGCTGGAGGCGGTTTCTCGACATGGACTTACAGACAAGGTTATGATGTCAGCATCCCAGTGTACAGCCCCCTTTCTGCGGATGTTGAGCTGCCTCAGAGACAGCCTGGGTGAGCACATCTCACACATTAACTCTCATTATCTTCACATCCTGACCAAATTACAGCCACTTTGTCTCATTTATCCATTAACAACTTATCCACAGACAGTGCTCAAAGATATTGAGAATGGATTTCTAAATAAAATAGACAAGACTCTTATCAATACTCTATCACCACTCTTTAGGTTAGTCTTGATTAAGGAGTTACTTGTAGTCAACGATATTAAGTGTGCCCGTTGCACATCTCCCGTCTCTTCCCTCAGGCCACGGCGCTACTTTATTCTGTCATCTCAAACTGCCATCCATCGAGAGTACCGTGCTGAACTGGAGCGCTTGAAGGAAGAAAATGGAGAAGCACTGCTCCTCCTGGACAAGTGTAGCAACCTCTCCCAGGGTGCCGCCTCTGCACGAAAACGCTGCTACAAGGGGCAGGTGTATGACTACCCTCAGATCTTGCAGGTGGGAGGCACAACTGCATTAAAAACAAATTATTTCAAATACTTTCTTAAGAAGTTAATTTCAGTACCTTATTTTCCCATGTTTTTGTGTCAAAGTGACTAATGGGGACAACAAGTTTTGAATCTGGTCCAGTAGGGTATGAGAGTAAGGATTACGTTGTAGTCCATTTTGCAGCTGCAGCCTGCAGCTTTGTCACTCAATACTGGAGCAAATTATAAACTCGTTGTCCCCATTAGTCACTTCGACATAAGAAGATGGGGGGACACAGAATAAATGCCAAATGCAGAAGGACAG